GATATTGTAGTGATAGATAGAGAGAGAGAGAGAGAGACAGAGCTGACACTGTCGAGCTTTTCACTGCCCTACACAGGCGGCTGATAATATTGAATCAATTTCAGGCGCGTCGCACTTCGCGCTTCAGCGGCGTTGCCGTACCATCGTTTCGCACACGCTCGCTCGCAGGCTTCACTCTTGTTTCCTCACGTACTCGCCCGTATCCAATCTCCGTGATTTGAGGGTAAACTCTGTCACAGACTCGTGCGCATATATACACGCGGCGCGCAGGAACGCTGGCTGCGTAGGAATTCGCTTTTAATATTTACCCGTGGATGGTTGCCCACGGATTGCCTACATAATGTAGTCGCAAGCAAACTGAAAATCACTCCACAGTGTCTGCGAACACGTCGTTTTTTTGCAGAAATAGGACGATGAAAAATCGCGTGACAGCCTTCCTTACAGAGCACGCGCAACGCGTGGAAACAATATTTCTTTCTTCGTCGCGCAAAGAAACGCGAAAGAAGAATGAAGAATGAGAAATTACGAACGGCGCGTGCGTTCGCGCCTATACAGCGGCATTTCCGTCGCCGTTCGCACGGACTTTCGACAAAAATCCAGATATTAATGATCCGCTTTATTTTTGCGCCGCCGCGTTTGGCTTTGAGCTTCCGTCCACTCAGCGCGTCAACCATGTTTAACACGCAGCGTGCGTGCATATGTGTGTGTGCGCGCGCGCGCGTGCGTGCGTGCGTGCGTGCGTGCGCGCGACAGCATGGGTGCATGCAGTAACGCCTAGCGCGCGACTCGAAATAAATTAGTTTGGCGTTTGGCATTAAGAACCTCGATGATAGCATTGCGCATAACACACACGCACACACGCACGCACGCACGCACGCACGCACACACGCACACACGCTCGCACACATATATAGCAAGTCAGCCGCAATCCACCAAGTAACGATTATTGCAGTCTCCAGCATCAATGAGGTGACATTACCTAATCAGACATATGGATACCGACACACTGTACCCCCTACACTGATGAACAGAGAGTGGGAGCGTTGATCTTTTTATTTTTATAGTCGCGCTGTGTAATAATACCAGGAGTGTGATAATATAGATCTATATTATGACACTCCTGATAATACAAGCCCGCACGTTTTAACTTTGCAGTGTCATGTCGCAGTCACCGCGAACTATATATATATATATATATATAAACATGGTCCAGGAATCATGTGATGATAGCAATGCATGCCGCTAGTTTCGCCCGACTATAGTCGGCGAAAATAAAGCGCCTAATTGGAGCCAATCGTCCAAGCAGCTATATGGTTTCAGGCGCGGCGGCCAATGCTTACACGGGAAACTAAACGCAAACCCAATAGACAAAGCGTCGCTCACGGACGCTGCCAGCTCAAGACAGAAGATGCTAGTAGCATCGCAGCTTGATCACACGGCGGCATGTCGCTGGCTGTGACTGAACAGCAACATCACACGGCGGCATGTCGCTGGCTGTGACTGAACAGCAACATCACACGGCGGCATTTCGCTGGCTGTGACTGAACAGCAACATCACACGGCGGCATTTCGCTGGCTGTGACTGAACAGCGACATCACAGGGCGGCATGTCGCTGACTGTGACTGAACAGCAACATCACACGGCGGCATGTCGCGCACCGCCAGGCACGATCCTGCCGCTTACACACAACGCGACGACCCCTGTGACTGAACAGCAACATCCAGCGAAACCCAGGCGCGTGAGAATTCTAGCTGTCAGACGAAGCCGAAACCTGACCGCATGACCGCATACACACGCACGCGCGCACGCGCAAACGTACGCACGCGCACGCAGACACGCACGCGTGTAGGGATACGCACGCGCACATGGTTACGCACGCGCACACGGACACGCATGCACACACGGATACGTACGCGCACACGGACACGCATGCACACACGGATACGCACGCGCACACGGTTACGCACGCGCACGCAGACACGAACGCGCACGGTGACACGCACGCGTATATGGACACGCACGCACACACGGTTACGCACGCACACACGGATACGCACGCGCACATGAACACGCACACACGCGAATGCGTATGTCAGAATTCCAAGATGAGAACTGGTTTCCTTGACATTTTTTGCATTTTGTTTGACTCTTATATTTGATGATATTCACAATTCACATGCGCTTATATATCGTTGTTAGAGCAACTTTCAGCGTACATTAACTAGGCAATGATGACCATTTCATTAAGCCACTAAAGATCACATCGATGGGAATCATTAGAAAATCGAAATCCGATGAATAATGCAATCGTGGAAGCCGCCGAACAGCTAAAGCTCATGCTGAAAGATTTTTCCCACACAATCCGACAATGCGCTACTAGGCAATTAGGCCGAATCGATAACGAGGTAACCATTCTCCCTTATCTCTCTCCCCCTTCTTCGCGTTTTTCTTGTTCTCTCTCCTGCTTACTCAATAAATCGCTACAAAACGGCCTGAATTATTGAGTGAGATCGACCACGTATGTCTATATCGTGTAGGAGAACGACGGCTGATTGCACGCTAATATGAAGCTTATCCGTATCATGGCATCCGTTACCTTGCAATGCACGTGAACCAAACGTCGCCCGATGTAACATATACATCAACAACGACACATTATGTGGAATACGAAATTAGTTCCGAACCTTTCACCTGAAATCTACTTTTAGAGTTTACCGAACGCATTGTTCCGTCGCCAATACTTCATGCAGCGTTATGCAGCATCTTCACGCATCAAGGGCAACGTAAAATCCTGCTGTAGAAAGTGTAAGCAGATACTCACCAACCGATGATATGCTGGATCTACGTGAACCGCCCTGGTAGAAGCTGCCTGGTGACCCTTGGCTGCCAGGCACGATCTCCCCTCTGATGGGCGAGGTCCCTCTATCACCACTGTAAGACAGATATATAACATGTCATTACGAATGTCATAACATAGATCTATATACGATAATAATATATACGATAATAATATATATGATAATTTATATGATCATAATATAGTCTATGAGTCTATATTATGACACTTCTGATGTCATATCGTACGATGAACGCTCTCCATACATGTAATATTATGTGAACATGTATATATCACAATGAACACGTATACGATGATATAAACGCGCTGTGACGTATGATAAACGCTGCAAAACACGATGGAAGGAGCGAGGATTACAATTTTACGTCATGTGATTCCGAAACAAAAAGGTGAACTATAGGACAACAGAGGGGAACAACGCGCGCTTGCGTGTGTGTGCGTGTGTGAAGAGTTTGTAAGTACGATACACTGTACAGCATGCATGTATCTCACGAGAGGGATTGGCATTCTGTACTCATCGCGACAGCATCAGTGATATAAACTTGATGGGGTGCGGGTCCGGTCGCTAGGGTTCACTCGTAGTCCCCGCCGAAAGCAGACGCGTCAGTTTCTGCTGCACCGTGACTACGTCATTACTCACTTTCGCTCATGGTTTTCAGCCATCAGTGGCGAGTCGAAGAGGAAAGGATTCAGTCCTAAAGACGGCTATACGCGCGTCACGATCGTGAGTGTGCTGCTGCTTCGCTGTGTGTCCCATATGTTACACTCTCACGAACAGCTTTCAACGGCAGCATTACCAAAGCTGTTTTGCTAATCCACTCGTTCTGTCATCAAAATCCAAGGTTCGCACCGAACACATATGACAACGGAACACTGGTCGGAGTCCGAATCCAGCACATGTGAAACCGTAAGCGTAGCACGGGATTGGGTCAACCCTAACGTATGCAACACAACAATAGTAGCTGGTATACACGCCCAAGTAACACCGGAACACCGCGGTTAGACCAGCATTCGACTCAAACATATATAAGACATCACAAAAGTAGCGGGAGTTCGAGCCAAACGTGCGTAAGAACAGAACAATAGCTGTAAGGTTCGAACCTAATACGTGTACGTGTATAATAACGTGTACGTGACACCAACGCAACAGCAAGACCACAGCAACAACCGCAACAACCAAGACAACAGCAGAAGTTCCCGTCTAACGGAGCTACTGACACGGGAGAACGGGTACAGCCAATCTACTATACAGCACTAGCGTTAATGCCATCACTATCCCGTGTTATGAGAGCAAGACATGCGCCTCGCCTACATAGCAGGGGGTGCTGCGTAGACTAACCCAACCGCCAGTGATGCACCGCGCAAAAACAGTTCGAGAAACAGGCGCACAGTAAGCCGTCGGGGTTTAAAAGAAAATAAATCACTCCCACGAAAAAAAAACACATTTATTTTCACTGCCGCTCTGCTATATTTTACCCTTGCTACTGACAGACGCGTGTGTGAGAGGTGATGACAGCTTCTGTGAAGTCTCACGGTCACTACAGATGAACTCACATAGTAGAAGGAAGGTTACAGATAGTGGTTCACATATGGCGGTTACCTACGGGGTTACATACAGGGCTGTCAAATATAGGGGCTTGCATATAGGAGTCACGCATACCGGTGCTTGCAAACGGATGGAAGTCCTATATAAAAGTGTCTCATAGAAGAGATCAATTCAGAGGTTTTGGTTATACCCACAACGAAGAGTTACATATAACAGAGGTAATCCCATACTGGAAATTACATACAGAGAAGAGAACAGATCTAGTTACTAGATTGGTTACTAGCTACTACTATGGTGACTGTATATTTCCTAGTTTGTATATACATCATTTACATGTTTTTGTAACTAAGATGGAAATTCACGTGATTCATAATATTTTTATTTTTATTTTTATAATTAGGATTTCTTGTTCTTGTTCTTGTTCTTTTTTCTTTTTTTTCTTCTTCTTCTTCTTCATCTTTTTCTTTTTCTTCTTCTTCTTAATATTATTATTACTATTAGTATTATTATTAGCATTATTATTATTTGTATTGTAATGATAAATTACGGCACGTGGGAGCAGCGCGTGTTGACAAGCGTTGTGCACAGCTGGTATTTTATAGTCATGCAGCTGTTCGAGCACGCTCGCTATCTGTCAGTTTATTACGATGTTATTATCCACATTATACCATACGCCATCTCCCAGCTTCACTGGAGCAGTGAACTGTATGTCCATAGCTGTGAAGGATATCGGCGGGTAGGCGCTGCGCGAGAGTTACAGAGGGAAGGCAGACGGCAAGAAAGAATGACGTAGGAGGTAACTTAATATTTACGTTCAAAATTAATAAAAAATTAATATTGAATTAAATTAAATTAAATTAAAAACAGAAAATTTAATTCATATTAAAAATTAATTAAACTTAATTACCCCATGAGCGGAGGACTGCGGGGAGACGTGGCGATGCCGCCTCGGAGCGCCTCCTGCTGGCCGGACTGGTAGCTGCGCTGCGTGCGACCGTACGAGTACTCCACGCGATTTGTGGTCATGGATTCACCACCATGAGTCGCCACTGGTGACATTCCTGTAATACCAAACATGGAGTTGGTAATATAGCGTTATATATACACAAAACTTTATAAAAGTAGTAATAATAATAATAATTGCAATATATATATATATATATATATACATATATATATATGGCAATTATTATTATTATTATTATTATCCAAAGTGGATCACGGCATTAGCCGGTGGCTTCTGGGTTGACCGTGTCCCTCCCTAGGACATAGGGATTCAATCCAGAATTTTTCGCAGGATGTGTGCTGTTCCCAGAAGTGTAATTTTCTGCACTTCTTAGGCAGTGTGGTGGCCAGGGAGTTCCTTTAGGTACTTCTCAAAACCATTCTTTATAGAGCCAAGGGCACCAACCACCACTGGTACTATTCTCGTCTTAGTATTCCACATCCTCCTAATTTCGATCTCCAGATCTTTGTACTTGGTAGTTTGTCTCTTTCCTTCACCATGATGTTATAGTATCATCTGGTACGGCTACGTCAATCAACAGGCATCGTATTTCTTTCTTGTTGTGGAGCAGTATATTATTATTATTATTATTATTATTATAAAGTTTTGTTTATATTAAGATGCCTAAGATAACTCAAAATAAATTCATTAACAACATGTGCCATGAGCCCTTATGACTAATTAAATGTAAATGATTTTTTTCAAGAATTGAGTAGGCCTATAATGGTGCAGGTAGAGGTAAAGTCATCTTTATCACAAAAAAGTATAAAAGAGTGAGACGTTCCCTTTACGTGCTACGGGTACTGCATGTGAATATCATGAACCGCATTCATACCTCTGTTCATGTAAGGAGTAGCTGGCATCACGGGGAAGGCTGGGGTCGTGGGCCGGTCTCTCTCCATATCCAGACGTATTGGACTTATCTGTTGCTGTACACCGAACTGCTGATCATGACGCTGCTGAGTGTGGTCCTGATGCTGCTGCTGTGTGTGGTGCTGCTGCTGCTGCTGCTGGGTGTGATGCTGATATTGTTGTGAGCCACCTGCCATTTGTTGCATCCTTACATGCTGCTCTGTGTTAGTGTCCAACTGACGCCTGTTCTGGTATGGTGTAGCCGGCGTCACTGGGAAACCTGTAGTTGGTAATAATATCAGGAGTGAATAATAATAGACTTGTTATTATGATAGCAATATAATTATTATTAATTAATTAATTACTTATTGTTATTAATTAATCATAATTATTATTATTATTAATTATTATTATTATTATTATTATTATAGTGATATTATTATTTACTCTTGATATTATCATAGACTAAGCATATCTTAGTTGCTTATTAGTATTCAATAATAATATGCTAAGAGCGAGAACTTGGGAAATACGCTGATACCTATTGCAAGAATTCACATTTTTATATATTTGATGTATATATTATTAAATATTATGCAGGTACTGATCATCGCACAGGTGGAAAGAAAACTGCACGCGAGCTAGGTGGTTCCACTCACTTGGTGTCTCTGGTCTGTCTGGCGGTGGGGGTCGTTCAGGAGGAGGTGCTCTCTCGGGGGCAGCATGAACCTCTGCCTGCACTGATCTGGGCAGTGACTCAGTAGTGGACCTGTCGTTAGCTAGCCGGGCTGTCATCGTGATGACGTCGTTAAAGCCGCCGTCCTAGGTGAGAGTGAGAGCGCAGGTGTGATACAAATGGGTACTCGTACATGAGTGGAAACGAACGTGAAAAGTTTGATATGTATACACACAAACACATATTCGCACACACACACGCGCGCACACACACACGCACACGCACACGCACACGCACACGCACACGCACACGCACACGCACACGCACACGCACACGCACACGCACGCACGCACGCACGCACGCACGCACGCACACACACACACACACACACACACATACTCGCACGCACGCACGTACGCACACACATATATACGTGACAACTAGAAAGCTATCGTACGAACTAATCTAAAAAATGTGCATGGCTTTTCACTTTTAATTTTGTTGCGTCTGATAGATTCACAACTTTGGACACGAGTGAAGCCAAACGAGCAGTAAGAGGCATGACGTAACACGTTACAGATGCTATTGCACGGTGCTGCCATCATACGGCAGCAATCAGTTGGAATGAAGTCAATGCGTCGCGTGAAGTAACCGTAAGTCAATCAATACGACGTTGGTCAATACCTGTTGATTTCCGCTCTGAATAGCTATTCCCTTGCCAGTCCTGTCTGCGGCCAACTGCAAACCTCTTTCCAGATCGTCCACTTTTGTGGGACTGTACCCTCTCTGGCTTCCTGTGCGCGTATGCGCGAGACAGAGAGATGTCACGTACCATACTGGCATCCCACACTAATAATGTCACATGCACAAACTGCAAACTCGAGCTAAACTTCAAAGTGGCCGTTTTTCTCCTCCGTAAACAATGTACAGGATAAAAAATATATTGAAAATCATTAGCAAGTTCAGAGAACATGCTCCGAGTAAAATTCAACTTACTTTGATCATGCTGAACACTCCTAGATTCTTGCTGGAACCTATACTCCTGATTCACCCTGGCCTGCTGCTGTTGCTGCTGCTGTTGCTGTTGCTGAAGCTGCTGCTGTTGCGGAAGCTGCTGCTGCTGCTGTGAAGCGTATCCCGGTGAGTACACCTCCCGAAGAGGAGGAGGTTGCTGCTGCTCACGGGGATGCTGCTGTGGAGGAAGCTCCTGTCTAACAACAGTCTGCTCCAGGAAGGGAGACTGCTCTCTGGGGTTCACCTCCTGCCTGTTCATCGACTGATTGCGGTCCTGGGACTGCTGTGACCACTGCTGCTGCTGCTGGTACTGATGGTGAGAGGAAGAAGAGTTAGCCTGCTGCTGCTGCCTCTTTGACATGGAGCTCCTCTCCATGGTCGTCTGGTTTGCGTGGCCGTCGTACATGTCGGTTGGCAGCGGTGCGGCCACTGGTGCAGTCCTTATCGGCTGCGGCTGCAGAACTCGGACAGCTTGTGACTTCCTCGGAGCGACCTCTCTAGTGATCGGCTCCTCTGTGGCGAGGCCACTCATCTGCAATGAGTCAGTCGCCACAGTTGAACGCCGTCGTATGTTCTCCTATTTATGCGTACTTTAACTTCTTATTTAGTTTTTACTTTTTGTTTACCCTTTTACGTACTTTTACGTCTTTGCTTATTCCAAGGTGCCATTTTCAATACTTGTATATTTCAAATCGAACATGCCAATTTCTCGGTCATTCTTAAAGGCATGCTATTTAATGTCAATCACATTTTAATCATATAAGATTTGTACATTTCAATACAAGTTTCCTGAAGATATTATCTCGCATAGATTCTATTATCACAGTCTTGGCAACACTTAAACTAATTCTACAAATATCATAGATCTATTATTATAAATTTCATTCGCACGCCTCTAAACGCGCAACATATTAAAGTATTTCTTAAAGTATAACTCACCCAGTAAAATAAAACGCATTGCTCAATCTAATGTGTTACACGCAACATTTTTACCCTCCGGCAAAGATTCAGAATTTCTACTATGTGGTTGCATATATGCGGTTGCATGTTATCTTTATTACGCATTTGATCTTTCTCTCATTTTTTTTATCTTTGCTCATCATTTTGCTCAGCAGCCTTATGATCCGTTCACAGATGCCTTGCCAATCACGACCCAGGAGTTATAATAGAGAGATCATTTTATCAGGAATGTATAATATAGATATAATATATAATATAGATATATATTATATATAATAAAATATATAATATAATATAATTCATTAAATTCACATAATATATATACATATTATATAACGTAGGCCTATATATATATATATACATATATATATATATATATATATATATATTATACTGCTATATTATACTATAAGTATATGTATAATAGGTCTATATTATACACTCTGGTTATATCTCACCTTGCGCGCTATATCGTCTTAGTGTAGGCACGACAGGAGTGGGTCGGCTGTCCGAGAGAAGGGCTGGCGGGGCTGATCCGTAGCACGGGGCTGTGTTTCAAGCTCTCTGCGCGGCAGAGGAGCTGGCAATCGGTGTTCTCCATCTCCAGGTCGCTGCGACCTCGTACTGCGAGACACCCCTTCACGCTTCTCAGCGACGACTCATCCCTGCATAAATCATATATAATGATAAATGACATAAATGATGGATGATAATAATAATAATAATAAATGATAATAATAACACATAATAATCAATCAATCACGACTTAATGGCGTCGCGGTCGTTCTACAGTGTAGCGCTATCCATTATTCTCGCCGAGAAATCCATCGAACATATCACACGAGGATTCTCTCTCCCGAAATATCTTCTGCTGGTAAAATTTTGTGGAGCAGGTGCCTCAGCGAGTGACCAAGAGCAGGTTGAGAGGCGGTGAGAGCAGAGTTTAAAAGGATGGTTGAGCGGTGAGAGTGCTAGAAAAGAGGAGGTTGAAAGTGAGAGTTAAGAGGAGGTCGAGAGTGAGAGTGTAAGAGGGGGTGAGAGTGCAGAGTGTAGAGGAGGTTGAGAGTGAGAGTGTAAGAGGAGTAGAGAGTGAGGGTGAAGGGAGGCTTAAGTTGAGAGTGTAAGAGGAGGTTGAGAGTGAGAGGTAAGAGGAGGTCGAGAGTGAAAGTGTATAGAGGAGGTTGGAAGTGAGAGTGTAAGAGGAGGTCGAGAGGAAATGAGAGAGTCGGTGAGAGTAGGGAGGTCGAGAGGTGGAGGTGTAAGAGAGGTCGAGATGAGAGGTGTAGAGGAGGTCGAGAGTGAGAGTGTAAGAGTAGGTTGAGAGCGAAAGTGTAAGAGTAGGTTGAGAGCGAAAGTGTAAGAGTAGGTTGAGAGCGAGAGTGTAAGAGTAGGTTGAGAGCGAGAGTGTATAATGGGGTTTAGAGCGGTCATCACCTGGCGCTCTGTGCGGTCTCCTGCAGTGAGTCGAGCAGCGCCTGCATGTCGTCCTCAATCTTCTGCTTGTATACGAGTGTCGACGTGTCCACCTGCCGTCTCTCCGTCTGTAATACGCGACCGACGACACGCTGTGCTTATTATCTGCCACGTTCGTCATAAACGTGCCACATAGAACCAGGAGACCAGCAACTATTATACTTAATATCAAGAGCTCTTCTTAATATATCGTGGACGGGCTCTTGATAGAATAAAACCAAGATCATGGCGTTTATTATATTTTTCGGGGCCTATTTTATTTTAAAATGTGCACAATTTGGATTTATTATTGTGGAATGTGTTATGCAGTGATCGGTTGCTCTCCGGCGCGGTTGACTCATGAGCGAAGTTGTAGGAACGTACCGTGTTAGTACTTGGCACGGCATACTGGTTGATATTCTGGTAGTATCTTTCGGAACCCGGCGATAAGGGGGGCGACATCTGACTGGCACTTCCGGCCCTCGTCCTCGCCACAGGTGGCGCCACCGCGGGATGATCGCGATCGCGGTCGAAGGAGGTATCGGAGTGCTGTCTTTGCAGGGGACGCTGGTGGCTCTGCCATGCGCGCGGTGGCGGCTGCTGCTGCTGCTGGGGCGAGTTGGCCCTCCTGCTCATCGGTGAGCTAGGTGCGCTGCCCAGCCGCGGGGCCTGGTAGATGGGAGGCTTACTGGCAGTGTACGGACTCGTCTGCGATGGTGGCGACGCGGCGGCGGCTCCGCCCGTCTCTATGAGAAGCTGGTTGTCGGTGAACATCTCCCGCTCCTGCCTATCGCTCTCCGACCGGCGCATGCGCGTCTGTACGTCCCGCAGCTCGCTGACAAGCGCCTTCGCCGTGCCCTCGTCCCAGTCCTTGCCCTCCTGGCGCGCACGCAGCTTCTGCTTCTGCGCCAGCAGCCACGTAGCGTGAGCTTGCTCGTCCTCCCTGCCTGGCGCCGGCCCCTCCCCCCGGGACATCCCCTCCAACCTGCGTGGCGAAATAGCGGGTACTTAATGTGCGGTCACGAGATCTCGCCAGACAACGTCTGGTGCGGTCAAGAGATCTCGCTAGACAACGTCTGGTGCGGTCAAGAGATCTCGCCAGACAACGTCTGGTGCGGTCAAGAGATCTCGCCAGACAACGTCTGGTGCGGTCAAGAGATCTTGCCAGACAACTGTGGTAGTAGTTGTTGTTGTTGAGTTAGACAGTAGATGGTTGCGGTAGTATGGTAGTAGTTAGTCAGTACGTTGTACAAGAGCACACAAACTATAGTAGGTGGGAACTGTAACGGTTTGTGTACTCTTGCTCGTATTACTGTGCATGCTGGTTATGCTCATGTTCATGTTCATTCGCAGATGTGGCGAGCAAAGTGTGTTGTAAATTTCACACGATGATGTGCGCTACGCAGCTACTGTTTTTAATAAGACCACATCATAACGGAACTTTGGCGGTGCCAATGGGATCACGTAAAATGTGAAGAAACTAGCAAGAAATAGTGAAAAAAAAAGACAACATGGGAATGGAGAATAGGGCGGATGGTGGATCGAGAGTTGTCAGAATAAGAGGACAGAATAAAGGAGGAAGCGAGTAGAGCAAAGAGTCTGCGCCATGTATTGTCTATAATACACATTTTGAAACAGATCAGCACCTGTCTATTTTAACGTGTATCTTGACCCAAGACGCGAGACAAAAACCTATAGCTGCACATTAAACAAAAGTAGGTATGTTTATACAGTACTCATTTTTGCACGAGTAAGAACACTTGGTTTGACCAATCCCAAGCAACAAAGCAACAATGTTACTGATATCAGGAGTTAATAAAGACAAATTTGTCTTTATTAACTCCTGCTGATATGTAACAGTATTTTGTTTTACTTGTGAATGGTCTACTGCAATGCGCCTACTAATGCAAACATGAGCCAAAAACCACGCATGCACATCATACGTGATTTGCGCGTGCGGTGCGTGTTGCTTGAGCTTTAAGCATGCGTGCCCGTGCGTGTATCTGTGAGCGTGCGCGCACGTGTGTATTTGCGTGCAGACTATAATTATAAATCATGCAGTTATCTAAAATAATAAGAACATATCAAGGAAGTGCTTGCTAAATATTACCTAAATAGAATTTCGACAGAATTACGGTAAAGATTCGCAACGAATATAATATATAAGTGAATTCACACAAAAATCCGCCAAAACCACCCAAAATCTCAGTGGAGAAAAAAACCAACGTAAAAAGCGTTGGCTGGCGGCAGCGTTTGTACCTTCTGTAGTGCGGGTAGTCTTCGTACGGATTGTTGTAGTCGACCTTATAGCCAACACTCATGTATTTGCGGGGCGGGGCGGGGGGCGACGCCCCAGGGCTAGTCAGTTTTGGGCTCACTTTCGTGTAGCTGTCTTTCTGAGTGTCCACAGTAGTAGTAGACCTATACGTGTACGAGAATCGACAGACAGGGTTAGTCCGCCTGAACACGCGACCCAGAGCATAGAAAGGTTGTCACACCATTGACATGCTGTCTCTCAGGTGTCGCAAGGGTGTGCCTGGGTGTGCGTGGGTTCAAGGTTGTGCCTGGCAAGGGTGTGCATGGGTGGTGCAAGGGTGTGCATGGGTGGTGCAAGGGTGTGCATGGGCGGTGCAAGGGTGGTGCAAGGGTATGCAGGTGGTGCAAGGGTGGTGCGTTCAGGTCAAACGCAGGTGGTGTTCGCAAAGGCGAGTCGGCTCATTTTTGAGGACGCTTTTCTGAGACATCATTTCCCGTTGTGACAAGATTTCCCACCCGGTCAGACGGATAAACATAACTGTTAAGCATACTGGTAGCTGTTAACATTAAGCATTGTTTACAGTGCTGCTGCCATACGGTACTCCAGAGCGAGTGCAGCTGAAAGAATACCAGTTAGTGAGAATGCACGAATGACACGGAAAGTAACCTCCGTGAACATTGAAATAATTACCGAACGTCGAGTATAATCAAATAAATAAGACAATAATATAGTATAAGACAAAATAAATAAGAGCATACTGTGCGTGCAACATTGATAGCATTAACTATACATATCATCAGAAGCAAAATCATTTTCCATAACTTAAGATGATGGGATATGATTTCCTCCTTGATAACATTATAGCAGAGACATGCATAATATCATCATGAGTGTATAATTAAGCAACGTATAGATTATATCGCTAATAGATCTATATTATACACTCCTGATATTATCGGATAGTTACGCCATATGACATGCAATGTAATGTATAATTATGCTACAAATATCATTCGATCACCGTCGCTAGATAGTATAGCATTCCCGGTCACTATCTTGTATGAGTAGGTTGAATAATTCGAACTATTTGAACTTTTTGAATTTTTGGAGTTGTAATTCGTAACTGTTGTAAAAATTGAATTTGTTTGAGCTGTATGTCTGAATCCTGTCAGTATGTAACTAAAAACTCAAAAAGGAAATTAGTACTCCCACAAGTGTGTGTGTTTGCAATTCCATAAACTATAGTTATCTGCGAGGATTTATACTCGGAACAAAATCAGAGGTCAAGTAGGCTTTATATAAGGAATACAATTTGTTCCGCTTCAATCTATAAAGTATCCAATGATGAAATCCAAAATCTATTGAATATATATGTATGTTCATAAGATTCTGGTTTCATTATATTTCACACATCTCACTGGAATGCTCATATTTAAAGCGAAGAAAGGGCTTGCGCAAAAAAAAGAAGTAATATTCATATGCATACACACCTAATGAAAACAGTGATAGACAAGAAGATGAGACATCTTGTAAAATGTAGACACAACCCAAAACTCATCTCACAAAAATCGAGACGCCGAACAAGATACCGATACAAGAGTTAACAGCTGGCAGCAACATGAAAAAATAAACTTACTTGTGTTACACTTGACTCAAATCACAAAAACGTATTAGCAATTCTAACATTTTTGCATATGCAATGAGGAAGAGGTGGGCAAAAGCACAGCTGTCAAAACACATCGCATTCATAACTCACTTCATGTCTGTACAAATGTACCTCAACTGCACGTAGACACAGTTGTGAGAAAGATTGCCTTGTTATGATAGACATATCAGATTAGTTGTATTTGACTGGTTGTGTTTGGGTGCCAACGGAGAACCACGGTACTGACCTGATGGGCGGCTTAGGTGGGCTTGATGGGGTAACGGATGGACCGTTGCTATACTTGTCGCTTGATGTGGTTGTGGTGAGTCTGTACACCTGGTTATAGGACTTGCTAGACTCTGCCTCCGCCTGTAGGGAATTTAGAAATGCATCACTGATCAATGGAATCTAATAGTTAGTTAGACCACAGACGCCCACAAGTGGTATTATGATACGATATGTTTCTGTGATTCCCAAAGATTCTGTCATAATTGGTCAATAACAAAATTTAATATAGAATGTAAGAAAATGTGTTTAACAACATCAATTAGGAACACATAACATGTAATTTCATTTATTAGCCTATATTTCGAAATAACAAAGGATGCTGGTGTGGAGGTAAGAGTCGTAAGTAATTTTAATCTGCTGTCTCTATCACTTAACTGTGAATTAAATTTAAATGTACAAATCATAAGTGATATTAATCAATATCAATGTAAGATATTCTATATGGTATCTTTTCGTTATGTTCATATAGTTCGTTATGCGAATACTGCGATCTTTGACACACTATATAAGTTTGGCTTCCAACTGAATATTCGCCAGATGTCACTGTGATGCAGTAGGCTAGTGTGCACACCTGCTGTAACTACTCCCTACCATGCGTCTTCCCCAGGATTAATTCCCTCAACAAAATGCACTCAATTTTCGTAGGAAAGGTTGTTCAGCTTGGAACGAGCTAAAAGGGGCTGTTTAAGCTAGTATAGAATGGGACATTAGAAGACCAGCAAACATGGTTTATGTGATACACGGGATTGTTAGTGAACCTGGTGGGAGCTATTGAAACAGCTTTCCCTACTTCAAATTTTAATATAGAACAAAAACTGTTCGCCCACAAGCACGTAGGGAACGCTACGTTTGGAGAGAATTGATAGATTTTTACTGCTACTGTGCAGAATTTTCGGGTATTTTCAGAGCTATATTGCCGCCCACTAAGGCACACATACATGCACGCGCACACACTTTCACTCACACGCGCACGTACGCACTCGCACAGCAACACGCCCACACGCACGCCCGCGCTCACACGCACGCCCACGCTCACACGCACGCCCACGCTCACACGCACGCACCCACGCACGCCCGCGCCCACACACACGCACGCGCTCACACACACGCACCCACGCCTGTATGCACGCACGCACGCACGTCCGCGCTCGGACGCACGCCAGCGCTCACACGCCCACCCACGCTCGCACGCACGCACCCACCCACGCACGCCCACGCTCGCGCTCACACGCACGCACAAACACGTACCGTACATCTATGATGATGACATCTGCTATGGGCTGCCATGCAGGGCTGCCATGCGGTAGTTAGTGGAGTCTTACCCTATAGTTCATTACATCATGCAATCCCACCTGCTCCCTGTCCAATCCCGCACTCTCCAGCATGTCATTGAGCAGCGCGTCAAGGTTGCTCGCCTGTGCGGTGTTGAGGCCCTGCTTGGGACTGGGGGCGTTGTCTGGACGCTGCAGCGGTGGCGGGTTGCTGTTGCTGTTTGCGAGCACGTGACTGTGCTTTGGAGTCACGGCTATCTGCAGCGTCGTGTTGTACTGCCCTGAATTGTCAACGTGCGCGCTTATGATGTTACGTCGCAGAAGAAATCCTGCTTTGCTGTGGTGGGGTTTCTCGTTGGCATACTACTCTGGTACGATAGAATAGCGTATTATGTAACGAGGGTACAATAATTAATGTTATGATATTAATGCTAGGTTAATAGTCTATTATATAAATTCTTGAAATAGTGGGGTTTTCTGGTATAATATCTTGAACTATAACAAAATCAGCGGTTGCAATGCATTACGATTCGTGCAGTAACGGTGCCGTTGGCGTGTTAGAATAAAGTTGGTACAATAGAATAGCGTATTTAGTAGCGAGGGTATAATAATGAATGTTATATGATATTAATGCTAGATTAATATTAGTCTATTATATCAATTCTTGAAATAAGATTCAAAACGATAAATTGCATTCAAAATGACAGAATTGAACATTACTTCCTAACGGCACATTTAAGTATACATTAGTGCTATAATTAATCTCGAGTTATACTAACCACAGACTCAGTTGTTTAACATTCTAATGAATAAAACAGTGAGAGGACATGCTGCCGCTAGGGGGCAGGGCAGAGTTAGCGTTTCTGATAGTTAAATAAATAGCCGTGAAGGCATGCACTGGGAATATGTTAATATGTCAGCATGATTATGTGCCTCAACGACAAGAAGTGGGAGGTGAGTCCTACCCTTTGGCATGCTGCTTTCCCATCCATTCTGTTCCAACATTCCCCCATTGTCATGCACGTCTGTAAAAATAACAACAAAACGTCAAACACAACACTCATGCATGCCACCTACCGGTCTGACCCGAACTACTGCTGATGCCGCTGTCCATGCTGACGTGGGGGCCATTTTGAACCTCCTCGTTTGTCGCGCTACTCGCTGGCTTCCGTTTAGTGACCTCTGCATAAAGACTGCCATCTACTGGGCCTTGCGTGTGAGTAATTTCTTCTTCTAAGGTAAGAAACGTACAAAGTTGGACAATTCATGGAACGCACGCTGGAGTTTGATATGGCTACAGAAGACTGAAAGGGAAACAACATTAGCAAGTGTTTACCGGTTTACTAGATGACAAGCGCGGTTTCCAACATCTCCATAACCCCACAACAAATACAGAAAACATTTTTCACATTACCGATTTATGATTTGTGACAAGAGAGTGAAGAACAGTTATGATATACCTTCTCCACCATCTTCTGGGTGCACGTTGAAGTTTTCGTAGGAGTCTGCACGCACTAGAGCATCCATGCTTGTATCGACGGGTATAGCATCAAGATCTGCGAGAAACATTCATGAAATAGAAAAGAATTTAAGGGGGAGAATTTAAATATAAAAAATTTGATTATGTTAATTGCAATATATTATTATTATTATATATATATATATTGCATATATATTAACAAAACCTGACCATTTGATTAAAACCAAAAATTAACATCACACATCCTATTCGCTCCTCTTAAATGTTTCGCTCCGTTTAAATGTAATCCTCCATCTCTTAAATGTTTGACACGCACCTGTGAACACTCTGTCAGGCACTGAGGACAGCATCACCTCCACTTTACCATGATCCGGGAATCTTGAATCTGATGGCACAGAAATAGCACAACATTGAACATCATGAAGAGCAAGAACGGCACGTGATAATCATTTAAACAAATTATACACAAAACTGCCAAACAATTACTTTCTATAAATTCTTTTCTTTCACACGTTTACACTCATCGAAGTTGTTCACAGACTAGAATAACCCTCCCACCATTAGTTCTGCAACCTAATGACTGTACACCCATCGAGTATTTTGCCATAATTATATGACACAACTCGGGAGTATTTATCCGCCATGTTGCAGACAATTATATCATTAGGCGCAGCTCCCAAGGGAGGTTAATACGGCTACTACTATCTTTGAACCTCAAGGGTGACATAAAGTATACAAACGATTGCTGAAACAACGCTAGCTGTCACTAGACAAATTGAATGCTCGTCGAATCCGACTGTCATCCCAATACATTCTGGTGTCAATTGATGCCAGCAGCAACACAGCCGTGAAATTCTCCTAATAATAGAATGAACCGTTCGTTTGTCGCTTGCTCGTTTGCGCCCCCCCCACAGCAATGAGCAGACGACCACGAATAGCGCCGCCGCCAGTCAATCGCGGCTATTTCTGGATTGCATTGCACGCGACAAGAAGAAGAATATACACAGACGTCGTGACGAATGGATAGGTTTTCATTAATGGCCGATGCGGCAGCGGGCGCCCCTCACCAGTCGCCGCGTCCACTACATACCGATACAGGCTCCGTCCAGCACTAACCCCGCGTCCACTACATACCGATACAGGCTCCGTCCAGCACTAACCCCGCGTCCCTAATATACCCGGATATCAGGCTCCGTCAGCACTAACCCGCCGCGTCCACTACAATACGACCCGCTCCGTCCAGCCAACCCCGCGTCCACTCATACCGATACAGCTCCGTCAGCACTAACCCCTCCCGCGTCACTACATAATACCGATACAAAGCTCGTCCGCACTAAGCCCCCTTCCACTCCTACCGATAAACTCCGTCCAGCACTAAACCCCGCTTCCACTACATACCGATAAACAAGCTCCGTCCAGCACTAACCGCTTCCACTACATACCGAATACCAAGCCCGTCCAGCACTAACGCCGCGCTTCTCACTACATACCGGATACAGGCTTCCGTCCAGCACTAACGCCCGCTTCCACTACATACGCGATACAAGCTCCGCCAGCACGTAACCGCGCTTCTACTAACAGTACCGATAACAAAGCTCCGTCCCCTCTTCTTCCTCAGAGCAGCCGGTCGTTTGCGACTGCGCACGTGTGGAACTGGGAGGCATGAAGATGACGTCACAAAGAAGCAACGCGCGATGTCTTGTGGTAGCACTTGACGAGGATGTCTCCCCCGCAGTCTGCCAGAACCGGATCGACGGCGAGCGTGATCCGGTTCCGTGGCCGTCGCTCGCAATGTCTAAATGAGCAAACAACACACGACGTCACAAGTGCCGTGTACAAGATCATCGTACGAACCCGGCCGCGCTATTTTTTTTCAGCAAATAGCTTTCTTTTTTTTAAAAGATGCATGAAGACAGCACTTGCTGAGAAACACGACGTCATGATCAAAACGTGGCCGACGAACCAGACGTACAGATCATCGTAACACAACCCGGGCCCCGCCATTTTTTGGGCCCAAATAACGATTTACGTTCAACAAAAGACGCAAGCGTCTAAACTAACGCAAGAGTCTATCAATATTGATAGACTCCTGAATTAAACAGCATTACTAATAAAGGGAATACATAAATAATAATAATAATAATAATAATAATAATAATAATAATAACTTGGCCTAATTTTTTGCCCCAAAAGAATAGTTTCCTTAAAAAGACGCGCGCAGCTCTAATAACGGCAACTACGAAATAATTTATATTTATAATTATAATGGGGGTAGCCAGATCGGAACGTGGCCCGCGAACCACATGTACAGATAATCGTGGAACTTGGACTCATTTTTCGCCCAAGCGAGGCGAATTTTCTTCAAATAATAAGCAGCTCTAATAACGGCAACTACGAAATTATTCACATTTGTAATTCTAATGGGGAAAATAATTGTTATAATATGTTTGTAATTCAACGGGGGAAAACGAGGCGTATGTTCATTGCGCTCTTCCTGTGAATTGCTGCAATTAGAGAATTTGAAGCTAAGAGTAATATCTGTAATGACCAATTTCCATAGAATGCACGAGTGCGTTACTGAGTGCGTGCGTGCGTGCGTGCGTGCGTGCGTGCGTGCGTCCTTGCGTGTATGTACAAACAGTATTTAAATAGCGGAGAGATATAGTAAGAGGGAGAGAGAGAGAAAGAGAGAGAGAAAGAGAGAGAGAGAGAGATTCTAAACAACTATCAGGCCGCTAAAGTCACAGATTTCCTGTCCGATATAATGGCTTCAGAATATGATGTCACCGTATATCTATGTTATCAGAACTATTCTATATACACCACATGGTTTTGTACCTTTGGACACGTGTAGAGTGGATGCAGTACTGTTGACAGCGACAGTTGATTGTAATAATCGTACATTAGAAATTAAAAGCGAACTATAATTATAAGGTGAACTATATAAATTTATAGGTGTGCCATTAAATAAAGAATGCTGACATAAGCGCACAGTATAGGCATACGTTAAGTTACTAAGCTAGCCAGACAGCTAGCCAATTAGCTAGCTAGACATCTAGGTAGTTATACAGCTAGGTAGATATATGGATTGGATAGCACGACTGCTACTTACTATACTCCTGACGTGTACACCGGCTGCATGCCCTGGTAGACCTTGATGAAAGGTCTGCAACCTGCAACACCGCACACAGACAAGGATCAGCTTCGACCAACCCTGATCAGAAATGACATAGTTTATAAGCCGGAAAGTTGCTGCGTAGTTGTAGATAGTAAGTCATAATTAGATCATTCATAATATCAATTGTGATAAAATGTCTAGTCTATCGATTGATGGTATGATGATATTCTTGGCTGATATTCTATATTATATGATGACTATGACAGGCCGGCTACGTACCTCCTTTAAGGTCGAAGTTTGGCGCTCCGTAGATCACGACCTGGTGCAGGTACAACGGCTGATTGTTCATCTTAATGTTGCCAGACAGTAGCCCAGAGAAGTACTGAATGTATCTAAAATAAAAACAACAATAGTTACAGGCGTTAAACGGATAATAAAATGACTAGATATTGTGAAAAGGAAGTGTGCGCGGAGGATAGTCAACAGTTCCTGCAATGGTAAATGACGTTGATTGGTTGTGGTATATCTGTACAAAGAAGCGACAGATACGCGACTCGTTGAAGATACAGAGCGAGAGAGCCACCCACCGTTTATAAAAGGAATGTAAGAGATGGCATCTAAATAGTGACTGACTTACCTTCTCTGGGAAGGGTGTGTAGCAAAAGCAAGCTTATTGTCGTAGTATCTCTTCATTGCAAATCTGTCCAGCGCATTGTCGGCACTTGCGCAGATGTTGCAATAGTGCATGTATGATGCAACCACTACCCCCATCCTTCCTGTTGAGCCCTGAAACACAAATAAATCACGATGTCAGGCAGGTGGGAGGGTTGACTGGTAAACGTGTGGGAGATTCAGCAGGTGGACGGAGAGGTGAGTGAGTGGGATTATGAGAAAGGAGCTTCATGGCGAGCAAGAGATAAAAAAAGAGAAAGAGAAAGAGAAAATGGTGGGTGGAGAGATGAGAGAAATAAAGGAAGCCGGGAGCTGTAAAGATGGAGAGTGAGAGAAAGAGGGGCAATGAGACCACGTATCCGGACAGTGGCAGGGGTCCTGACACACATTCAATACAAGCCTCATAATGGCCTTCGAGGCTTATATCCTATCTTAGTGTTGCTGTCAGCTAGTCAAACGCACCTTGCAGTGTAGCACAGCCACATGCTGCGGGTCAGAGCTGAGCCACGAGTCTATGGACTTGCAGATGCTACACAGATTCTCAAGAGGCGGTGCTAGGTGGTCTGGCCAGCCAAAGTCCATCACCTACCACACGATGGAGAAAAAGATATAATCAAAGTCATGGTAGATTTCCATGCAACCAGGTACTGTGTACATGTCTTCTCTCTCACACGCGCGCTCTCTCTTTCTGTCTCTCTCTCTCTCTCCCTCTCTCTCTCTCTCTCTCTCGCTCTCTCGCTATTCTCGCTATCTCTCTCTCTCTCTGTCTCTCGTTCTCTCCCGTCTCTCTCTCGCTCTCTCGCTTCTCATCTCTCCTCCCCCCCCCCTCTCTTCTCTCTCTCTCGTCTTCTCCTCTCGCTTCTCTCTCTCTCTCTCTCTCTCTCTCTCTCTAATATTATACTATATACAATTCCTGTGAATTCATTGATTTGTGGCACTATTACTAATTATTACTAATTATAGTGCTATTATTGACTAATTTGGAGACACCGTGTTCGCGGACACGACTGCTTACATGTTTGTTGAGTTTAGGGATGTCATAGCGCCGCTCTGAGAGGTTGAAGATCATGTGCTTCTCGTCATGTTTCGTCTGTAGCATGCGCGTCACTTCGCGCAGGCTCGCCTTGTACGTCGAGTCCAGCCCGCCATCAGGAAACGCAATCGCTGTAGTGAAAAACAGGAGTGTCATAATCTATTATATATTATCACCAGTGTATAATTTAGACTATCTATATTAGGCCTATACACTTCTGCTGTTATGTAATATTATCAAGAGTGTATAATAGTCGATATTATACGCTCCTGATATTCTGACACTCATTGTAAGAACGTACGGACATCAAGGCACGCGAAACACACCCGTGTGTGTTTAAACCATAAAAATAATATACTAGTCAGACTCTAGTGACTCTATATATTTCTATAGTTTAAACTAATTGCACGTACACTCAAAACAATGCGGACGACATAGAACGCAATGATGTCAACTATTGTGTCAACATTAGTCTCACAAATACACGGGGAGCACACGCTTATTTACTATTTCTACATTGTCCCGCATGCCGACAAACACGCGATAACCGCTTATCAGGAAAAACACAGCCTGCTGTTATTTTTGAAAAGTAAATTGCTCCGAGTTCTTAAATGCGCTGCGGGCGAGAACAATAACGAAAGATTCCCGCAGAGAAATCAACACTGCAGTGACGGAGGCGGCGGCAGCGGCGGCAGCGGTGGTGGCACACTGCCTCGCTGATCAATAATTATAGACATCTGCATCCACGCGGTTACGGTTAGGTTAAAAGCGGGTAGAAAGGATAAATAATACGTCGAAAGAGTCTCGAATGACACCGCAAACGATTTGGGGGTTTAATTCGAAATGGTATTATATCGATCAAATGCGAACCTCTAATGCAAAATCGTTCGATCGCAAAGTTTCAGATGACCTTAATAACAATTAAACAGATCGATATTTCAGTGCGTGAATGCGATAGAAAGAGTGACATTACGTGAGAGCTACCGCACAGGAAGTTACATTAGAACCATGATTTACGACGAAGCAAGAAATAGCACAAGGAACTGATTATATAATAACAAACGAATAAAAGGGGCATGTGCGTTCCATTGGGGAGTAGTAAAATCGTCCTTATAGAATCACAGCCAATAATAATAAATACTTGATATCGTAAATCTGTTGCGAGCGTTTTTTGGAATGGAGCCTTCCAGCTAAATTCATACAAATACAAATGAAGAAGATATCCGGTAAATTGTAATAAAAAGTCAATAACATTAACTCTCTAAGCGTCTGCTTAAGGCACAGTCGTCACAGTCGGCACTGGTCGTTATCTTCCCGTTCTTGGTCGATGATGTGATATATACCATATAATTATTAAGAGCTAGTAAGACAACGTATATAATGTAACATAATGTAATAGAATGTATTATTAGCTCTTGCATATATATATGCAAACCGCGTCTGCAGCACGATAGACCAGCATAACGTGGAGATCAAGCAAAAATCTATTCACTCAAGGAAACATTGTGGCATCAGGCACACATGGGAAGTAAAGATCATGGATAGGGGGGTGAACGAATGGCTCTCGTTGCTGAGAAAAGGGCCGGATGTCAGGACGAGGGCGGCCACACTCACCAATAATGCGCTCCGTGATGTAATGAAAGTCCACATCCTGCAGATCTTCTCTGCCGCCTCTGTAAAAAGACACGCATGAATAATAATAATAATAATAATAATAATATTTATTGATTTATATTGCGCACGTTACATGCAAATATGTTCACGTGCGCATTACAGAGTCTGATTATAAAATACGAACTGCAACACTGTAACATATAGATACTAAAATTACGACAATCCTATAACATTTCCTGATTATAAAATAGCGGGGGTTAATGGCCTTTCGCTGCGCTGCGATTTTTCAGGATGACAAAACAGCGGGCGAGCAGTTGTAGTTTGCGTGTTCTCTTGTTTGTGAGAAAGAGCAAACTCGTTTCTAGTCTCGAAAAACAAGTGCGCTACGCAATACAACGTGCAAAGCGTCTATGCGCGACTATGCTAATATCTTAGTGAAGAATACACTCAAGCTTTTGCTAATATCTTAGTTAAGTTGAACGTCTCAGCTTGACGACGTCAGAAGCTGTAGACAACACGAAGCTATAACTCAACGAGGCGCCATTGCTTGCATCGGGAGATATTTATACCGTCAACTCTCCCAATACCGACCACCTTCGGGACGGTCCATTTAGTTTCTGCGTAATTCGATTTACAAGGGCGGCTATTCCAGGCATATCTTACATGTCTCAGATAGCGTTGGGACTTAAAATTCGTCCTCGGTTTTGAAGGCGTTCGGAATTTAGAGAGTTGGCTGTAGTAGCTAAGTGCGGATAGACAAGGTTAGATGTGCAGATAAGAAGTAGTTCGTCGGTATTTTACAAAAAGATGGAGCATGAAGTTGCTTAACTCCGGCTCCACCCAACGACGACATAACCGCGCGCGTCCTGTACTGAAAAAGCCCGGCAGCACTGCCGGCCGGTTACACATCTGCTCTAGGCGCGCATTAGCGAGCGAGATTCTGTCAACAGCTGCACCGCGTTAATCACAATTGTGTTTGTTGTTTCTGTTTATTTGAATTTCGCTGCTTTCCCCACTCGCACGGCCGATTTCCGGCGCATATACGGGGATGACGGGGCTGGGAATGTCTCCACTAATAGCCTCAAAGGAGGAACCGATGGCAAGGTTACCGAGGATTGGCAGAGGGAATATGCCGGCAGCATCGGGTAGTGACGTGACAAGATGCGAGACAACAGCAGTGCAAACGAATGGGACTGCGGGAAGGACCAGACTATGGAACATCTCATGAAATGCCCCATCGCCTGGAATCTCTTAGAATCCAGAGCCCTGTAGACCTGGAGACCTTATAGCTTTCAAGCAACCGTGCCGGCGCCTGTGTGCTGCAGTGGCTAGGAACGAGTATAGTGCAGTGACCCGAGAAGAAGAAGAAGAAGAAGAAGAAGAAGAAGAAGAAGAAGAAGAAGAAGAAGAAGAAGAAGAAGACGACGACGACAGCAGTGCAAACGCTGACGCGTGAAGATCAGGCGGAAATGCTATCGAGGAAACTATATGTCCGGTTACTTACTTCGATGACATCTTCGTTTTGATGCTGTTCATGATACTTCGCGATGCTTGTTGTTGCGTATCCTGAAAAAAACACCTAAGAATTAATCCAACTGCACGGAAAATAAAACCAACCACACGGCAATACATGCCCAAACTCTGCACTTAGTACTAATACACAATGATGCGCTAAAATAGCTAGAACAATGTACTAGATAATAATACATGTAACATTATAATGTAACATATATATAACATCAAGAGCTAATAAACGCACAGGTGTTTATTAGCTCTTGATAACATACATGTAACATATAATGTATTATTAGCTCTTGATAATAGTAGTAAGGTACAAGCTGTACGTTAGACGTAATAAAGTGAACAGCTGAACTTGCGCGGGATTAGCGTACGCGAGAAGGACCACGTAAATGCGCATTTGGATGCTACTAGTTCGTTTTTTAGTGCTCTAGTGCTACGATGGATCAGGAATCCGCGGCCGTAACAGTGCAGGCTTCGAATTATAGTTATCCTGTAAAAGCCTGAAGTCAGAACTTTATTTCTGCGTACAGTTTGTTGTTGTAGGTGTTGTTGTTGTTGTTGTTGTTGTTGTTGTTGTTGTTGATGATGATGATGATGATGATGATGATGATGAAAATAATGATGGTGATAGCATGAAGTTTGCTTACTCGGCTCCACCCAACGACGACATAACGCGCGCGCGTCCTGTACTGAAAAAAGCTCGCGGCAGCAACTGGCCGCCGGTTTTACACATCTCTCTAGGCGCGCATTACGCGAGCGAGATTCTGTCAAACAGCTGCACCGCGTTAATCACATTGTGTTTTGTTGTTTCTGTTTTTATTTGAATTTCGACTGCTTTCCCCACTCGCACGGCGCGATTATGCGGCAGCATATACGGATGACGGCTGGAATGTCTGCCACTAATAGCACTCAAAGGAGGAACGGCGTGGCAGTTTACGGCGAGGAATATGGCAGAGCGGAATATCCGGCAGAAATCGGGTAAGTGACGTGACAAGATGCGAGAACAACAGCAGTGCAAACGAATGGGACTGCGGAAGGAGCGGCAGACTATGGAACATCTCGATTGAATGCCCCATCGGCCCTGCAATCTCTTAGATCCAGAGGCCCTGTATGACTGGAACCTAATAGATTTCAAGCAACCGTGCCCGGCGGCGCTGTGTGCTGCAGTGCTAGGAACGAGTATAAGTGGCAGTGACGCCGAGAAAGAAGAAGAAGAAGAGAAGAAGAAAAAAGAAGAGAAAAAGAAGAAGACGACGAAACGAACAAGCAAGTGCAAACGCTGACGCGGAAGATCACGCGGCAAATGCAATTGAGGAAATCTATATGTCGACGTTTACTTTACTTCGATGACATCTTCAGTTTGATGCTGTCATGATACTTTCGCGATGAGCTTGTTGTTGTGCGGAGAATATTCTGAAAAAAACACGGCTAAGAATTAATCAACTGCACGAAGAATAAAACCAACCACAGCGACAATACATGCCCAAAACTCTGCACTTATAACTAATACACAATGATGCGCTAAATAGCTAGAACATGACTAGATAAATAATTACATGTAACATTATAATGTTAACAATATATATAACATCAAGACTAATAAACACACAGGTTTTTAATTAGCTTCTTGATCACATACCATGTAACATATAATGTATTATTAGCTCTTCGATAATAGTAGTAGATACAAGCTTAGCGTACGACGTAATAAAGTGAACAGCGAACTTGCGCGGATTAGCGTAGCGCGAGAAGGACCACGTAAAATCGCACTTTGATGCTAGCTAGTTCGTTTTTTAGTGGCTCTTAGTGGCTACGGATGGATCAGGAAAGCGCGCGCGCGTAAGCAGTGGCAGGCTTCGAATTAAGTTATTCTGTAAAAGCCCTGAAGTCAAGAACTTATTTGCTGCGGTACAGTTTGTTGTTGTAGGTGTTTGTTGTTGTGTTGTTGTGTTGTTTGGTTGTTGTTGTTTGTTGACGACTGAGATATGAATGATGATGATGATGAAATGATGTATGGGTGAAGATGTGATGAAGATGATCGATGATGAATGATGGCTGAAGATGAGATGATCTTGGGCCGACGATGCGATACGATGACGAGATGATGATGATAATGATAATGATGATGATGATGATGATGTATGATGATGAATGAATGATAGATGGAATGACGTGTGTAGTGTAGTGTACAGCAGTACGTGCTTCGGCATAAGTAACGCCGCATATACACACGTATACGGCACGCACGATTCACAGCCACGTAACGCGTCACACACCAACGCGCAACACCACACACACACACACACACACACACACACACACACACACAGTACACCACAACACACACGACACAGCACACACACACCTACCACACACACACTCACACACACAACCCAGCACCCAGAGGGCGCCCAGCACACCGTCCGCACAACGCACACAGGCGCAACGCAGACACCCACGACGCAGCACGCACGACACACAATCACGGCCACGATGCAATTTTTTAAGATCGCTCAGAATCCCACGGCTTGATTGAATAGCCGCGTTACCATAACGCTACACTTCCAACATTTGTGTCACACATGTTAGCTGTAGCTGTACGACCTATATATTCTTTCCATTAGCGCTGAGCTCGCATAGCGTTCTCCAGTGCCGTCTCAGTCAATAGTAAGGTGTCACACAAGTGGCACTTTAGAAGCAGACGGAATAATGGTAAAAAGCAAGCGATGGCGAAAAAGAAAATAGAAAGACTATTTGCGAAACTCAAGCGTAGCTCAAGCACTTTCGCAATCTGACAAAGAATTAAGCGCGCACTATCACGCACAGTTGGGTGCACGCACACACGCACGCCTGCGTGCGTAGGCACATGTACGTACACGGTCTACTATGCGCATGTTTAAACATTATCAGAGGTAAAACACAGCGTTTATGGTTTTGATTTTACGTGTGATACTACGTGATATTGATATTATTTGTTGTGATCACAACATTCGTTTTTCTCCTCAATATACATATATCCTTTTTATCCAATTGGATTTTGTCACCCAGCAGCACATAACTATAATATGTTATATAAAGTTATTACATTACTATAAGTTTTAAATTTGCCTATACGTATGAGACAATACTGTATATGTATATATATATATATATATGCCGTATTAGCAGAATTCTGTTGAATGAGATAAATGTTAGTAAAAATTACGAATGCTATCATTCAAAGCATCTCAAAGTATAAATAACATGTGTATACTAACGGAAGAAATTGCCATTTAAATCAGATCATGTCAATCTATACACCCATGAGCGCTTACGTGCATGCAAACTGAGTGGCTCCATTTTTACAGACGGATCTGCATAACTTACTACACGGGGAATAACTTGAATGTGCGCGAATCTTTTCTTCGTGTGTGTGTGTGTGTGTGTGTGTGTGTGTGTGTGTGTGTGTGTGTGTGTGTGTGGTGTGTGGGTGTGTTGTGTGTGTGTGTGTTGTGTGTGTGTGTGTGTGTGTGTGTGTGTGTGTGTGTGTGTGTGTGTGT